GATTTTGATTCCTTGATCTTCCTATTGTTGATTTCTAAATTTATAGCATTGTGATCTGAGAAGATTGTTTGTAGTATTTTGATGCTTTTTTTCATTTACTGAGGCTTGCTTTGTGGCTTAACATGTGGTCCAGCTGGAGAATGTTCCATGTGCATTTGAAAAGAACATGTATTGTGCTGTTGTTGGATTGAGTTCTCTGTATAAATCTATGCGGTCAAGTTGATTGTGTTGTTTAATAGTTTCTGTGTCTTTGTTGAGTTTCTTTCTAGTTCTGTCCTTTTTTTCTTGTTTTGGAAAGTGTGTGTGGAACTACAGGTTAATGTGCTGAACCACAAAGTCAGTTTGAAACACAAGGTCAGAAGTTCAAGCTCACCAGCCATTCCTCGGAAACCCTATACAGGGTTGCTGTGAGTGGGAACTGACTCTATGGTACTTAATGACAACTATTATTGTAGCATTGTCTATTTCTCTCTTTAATTCTATTAGAGTGTGATTTATGTATTTTGAGGCCCTTTCATTGGAGGCATAGATATTTGTTATGGTTATGTCCTCTTGTTCAGTTGACCCCTTAATCATGATATAATGTCCTCCTTTGTCTCTTATGCTGGTTTTTGCCTTAAAGTCTATTTTATTAGAGATTAAAACAGCCACTCCTGCTCATTTTTGATTGCTTGATAGTATTTTTTCCATCCTTTGATTTTTAGTCTATTTCTGTCTTTGTGTGCAAGATGTATCTCTTGTAGATAGCACATTGAAAGATCCTGTTTTCTATTCTGCTACTTTCTGTATCTTGACTGGTGCATTTCATCCATTGACATTCAGCATACTTATCAATAGTTATGAATTTATTACAGTCATTTTGCTGGGTTTTTTTTTTTTTTTGTGTGTGTGTGTTTGTGTGGTGCTGCTGGCTTCTTTGTTCCACATGTTTTCCTGTGAGTTCATTTTTTTGTGTGTGCTTTTTCTTGTCAATCTTTTCATAGTTTTAATGTTTACAATATCTTCATGGATTTTCCTTTTCTTGATTTCATGTGATGGTGTATTAAATTTCTGCATCCATTTGGTTTTCACCCTCCCCCATCTGTTATTTACAGTGTGTTGTTGTTATGTGCCGTGGAGTCAGTTCCAACTCATAGCGACCCTGTACAGGGTTTCCAAGGCTGTTCTCCCATGGAACAGCTGGTAGCTTTGAACTGCTGTGAGATTAGCAGCCCGATTCGTAACCTCTACTCTATTTACAGTGTAGATGGAACAATCTCTTAAAAGTGCAGATCTTATCATGCCTATTTCTCGCCTTCAATGATGTCTCCTCACCAAAGTACAAGAGACAAAATCTCCCCATCCTTACTTCCAAAGAGCATTTTAACTGTACTTCTTCCAAGACAGATTTGTTCGTTTTTCTGGAAGTTTATGGTATTTTCAATATTCTTCATCAATACCCAAAACCAAATTAATGAATTCTTCTATGGTTTTCCTTATTTATTTTCCAACTTTCACATGCTTGTGAGGTGATTGCAAATGCCAGGGTTTAGGTCAGGCAAACCTTAGTCCTCAAACTGACATCTTTGCTCTTTAACACTTTAAAGAGGACTTTTGCAGTAGATCTCCTTAATGTAATTTGTCATCTGATTTCTTGACTGCTGCTTCCATGAATGTTGATTTTGGATCCAAGCAAAATGAAGTTTTTAACAACTTCAATATTTTCTCCACTTATCATGATGTTATTTATTGGCCCAGGTGTGAAGATTTTTGTTTTCTTTACATTGAGGTGCAATCCTGTGGTCTTTGGTCTGCATTAGTATTTTAAGTCTTCTTGGCTGCCAGCAAGCAAGGTTGTGTCCTCTATCACAGGTTGTTAATGAGTCTTCCTCCAATTGTGATGCCATGTTCTTCTTCATATAATATAGCACCTCAGACTATTTGTTCAGCATACAGTTTAAATAAGTGTGATGAAAGGCTACAACCCTGGCACATACCTTTCCTGATTTTAAACCGTTCAGTATGCGCTTGTTCTGTTTGAACCTTTTGGTCTATGTACAGGCTTCTCAAGAATACAATCAAGTGTTTTGGAATATCCACTCTTCATAATGTTAGCTATAGTTTGTTATGATCCAGAGCCCCAAACCTTTACATAGCAGTAAAGCACAAGTAAACATCTTTCTAGTGTTCTCTGCTTTTAGTCAAGATGTTAGCAATGATATCCCTCTTCTGATCTGGCTTGAATTTTTGGAAGTCCCCTGTCAATGTATTGCCGTAATTATTTTTGTATGACCTTGTTTAGTTGCCTAGAAATTCATCCCCTCTTCTTTCTATTGAATCATGTATTTAATTAGTCTCCTCTGTTTAGAAAATCTCCAAATCCAGGGAAATTCTTTCTTTCTGATGCATCAAGCAGCCTCTCCACCCCCACCCACTTCTATCCCCCTAACTATTTCAACATCTCTAGGATATACTATGGAGTCCTGGTGTGGTGCTGTGGGTTAATACGCCAGAGTGCAAAGCCATTTGAACTGCAAGGTTGGCGGTTCAAGCTCACCAGCGGCTCCAAGAAAAGCCTATACAGGGTTGCAATGGGTTGGAACTGACTTGATGGCACTTAATAACAACAAAGGATATACTATAGTGCTATTAAAACTAACATTCCTCAGGGATTAATTTGCCTGTGTCAGTTGTCTCTGTCCTGGAATAATTCCTGAACTTTTGTTGTTGACCTATAGTATCTTGTTAGGTTTTCATAACAACCCTGAGACAGTTCTGATGATCGTAACACTAAAGATGAAACTTAGACTCACAGGGACTGACATGAATATAAAACCCAAACCCGTTCCCATCGAATCAGTTCCGACACATAGTGGCACCTATATAGGGTTTGAGACTGAAAATCTTTATAGACTCTGACCTCTGGCTGAGACTTCTCTTTAGATTGTTTCTGGAAGATGATGAGGTCTGGTCCCTGTTATGCCTTCGTAACATGTTTCATAATTCAGGAGTGAATATTGGTGGCCCCAGAATCTGGAAATTTCTGAGAGTGAAATGAGAAAGAAGGAATCAACAACGGACAAGGCAAAATCTGACTATGATTGTAATTCAGAATGCCCACAGTAGTTACTGTGCCAGGGTTTCATTTTGGAAAAGGACTAATCGATTCGTGATTTGTACTTCTTCCTTTGTGGTAATATGACTGAAGTGATCCTTTCTCTCACTGATTTCACCAAAGTTCTGAGGAACAGACTTCCAACACATTGTATTCACTCACCACCTTCACTCAGACCTCTAAAGATGGTGTGATAGTTAAGGTTTTGTGTCAACTTGACTAAGCCAGTTAGCTCAATGATTTGGCAATTAAGATGCAGTGAACCCACCAGCCATTCATTGGAAACCCTATACAGGGTCAGCGAGTTGGAACTTAACCCCTGTGATCAGATCTAATGTAATATAATGAACTTCATGAGATCTGCTGTGAGGAGCAAATTGAAAAGCAGTTCCTCAGGGGTGTGACTTGTTTCCAATATATAGGACACTCCAGCAAAGCTTTTCTGCTGGGTCTGGATCTGGCATCTGACCCCTGGTTCTTTGGAATTGAGCCTGTGGCCTGCTCTATCGCCTGCTGATTTTGGGAGTCATTAGCAGCCTGCCTACATATGACTTGCTGATCTTGGTTCATCTAATTCATGGACTTGGGTCTTGCCCTTCTCTACAACTGTGAGAGCCATTTCCTTGACATAAACTTCTCTCTCTCTCTCTCTCTAGAGAACTCAGCCTAAGACAGATGGTTAGTCAAAGTCTGGTCAGCAGAAAGCCTGTGTAGTTCCTCTTGAGGACACCTGAGGGGCAGGGTGCCCAATCCAGAGCTGTCCTGTGGTGCAAAGTTTGAGGACAGGTCTTCACTTGGGGTGAACTCACCAAGATGGCACCTTTTGAATCTCTGGTGTGGCTAACCTCTTTCCTCTACACTTCTGTAATGACATGGTTTGACAAGGTCTTGGAGGAAAGGTCCCTAAATTGACACCTGCCTTCCTGGAATGCTAGTCCTCAAATTCTTCTTGGTTCTTTCACCTTCCAGGTCCCAGTTCAGATATCACCTTCCCAATCACCCTATCTAAAGTCTCTTTCATTACCCTGCTCTTCAATCTAGCTAATCTTTTCACATCACCCGGTTTGAGTCCATCACCACCAATTGTCAAATCTGTGGCAGGTTCATTTTTTATTTACTTATTTTAATTGATTCATTTACGCTTGTCTCATGCCTATTAGAATAGTATGCTCACACTGTACCTTCAGAATTGTGCTTGGCACATCAAGGGAGTTGAGTATTGGTTGAATGACAGTTGAAGAAACAAGCAAAATTTCCCCCCAAACCTTAAAGGCCATGCCCCATAGGTATGGCTGAAGGATGCCAGGCCTGTCCCCAGGCTCCCAAAAAGCAGAGCCAGTGAATCAGATAGCAGGGTTTTATGGAGGTGCACACCCAGTTTGTGAGGCCCAGCCTCCTCCAGCCTTCTGAGGGGAGGCAGGCTGTACCAGACTTTCACATTCCAAGTCAATGTTCTGCCCTTCACTTTCAACAAAGAATGAAGCACTGATGGTCTGGGACAAAGAAACAGGAACAAAACTGGGGCTCCATGTAGTCCTAGGTTTTTGCCACTTGATTCTCTGTGGGACTAAGCTTCTGGAGGTGGGTGGCAGTGTGGTGACCAAGAAACATTGCCTCAGACTGAGAAGACGCACATCTGATTCCTCCCTGCTCCCAGAGGGCCTAGTGCCTACCTTTGACAAAACAGGGAAAATATTAAAATATAAATAATTTATACAAAATGACTCGTACAAAAAGCTGAGAGTTGGGGGAAGAAAGGCCTCTATGAGAGGCTGAGATGACTGGAAGAGGCAACGTGAGAAAGGGATACCGTCACTCCTCCTACTTATAACAGAGCCCTCCAGCCACCAGGGCCTGATGGGTGACTATAGCAGGCAGAGGAGGGGTGGAGCTATGCCCAGGACCCTTAGGGAGCTAGGTTTGTGAGTAGAGTGGTGAATCGCTGGGCCCGCCCCACCAGTTCTGCCACACACTGTGTCATCTCTTGGGTCACAGGCCTGGATGGGTAGCCCAGTGCAGCCCCCTTGACAGCCAGCACAGTGGCCCGCAATGCCTGGCCCAGCGCAGTGCCTGCAGCCCCGACCTGTGCTCGCAGAGGGGCTGAGGATGTTAGTCGGTCTAGGGTATCTCCAACAAACACCAGGCGGTGAGCTGCTACCACCACCCGCTTTCCGTGGGGTACAAAGAGGCGAGGGGGCTGATTGGTCTGGGTGCTGGCCATCAGGGCGGCCACGGCCGCCTGCAGCGCGGAGTAGTGGCTCTGGCATTGCTCTGCGTAGAAGTGCACCAGTTGTAGGTCTCCAGCGGGTAGAATCAAAGGCTCCCCTAGGGACTGTGTGTCCTGAGGGGCAAGAGCAGTGTCAGGGGCAAGTTCCCATTTGCATCACCTGGTGAGTTACCTGCTTTCCTACCTTTCTTCCTCCCTTTGTTCTGCATTCCTTCCCTTCTTTCCCAGTGCAATCCCTGTAGCTCTTACCTCTGTCCTCCTGCCCATCAGAAAATTTAGATTCTCACAGACAACAATGAAATGCCCTGACTTGAAGTCAGATAGATCTGGATTCAAACCACCTCACACTTGCACTCAGTCAAGTCTCTGAACTTTTCTGTTTTCCAGTCTCTAAAATGGGGATTCTAGTATTTCACTGTACAATATAAATATAATACATCAGGGGTCCTGGTGCGGTGCTGTGGATTAATGTGCTGGACTGCAAAGTCCGTTTGAACCACAAGGTCGGTGGTTCAAGCTCACCAGCTGCTCCTTGGAAACCTTACACAGGGTTGCTATGAGTCAGAACCGATTCAATGGCACAACAACAATCGTAGTTATATCAAGTAAAAAGAAACTGGTGATATTAAGTTTAATATGTTATATAACCCAAAAGATTAAAAAAAATTACTCTAATATTTATTTGATTAATAGAAAAAACAATTGTCATAATAAGTCTTCAAAAATATGGTGCATATTTTATATTAACAGCACATTTCAATTTAGACTGGCCATATTCTGAGTGCACGTGTGGCTAGTGGGCACTGTACTGATGAGTAAGAACAGTGGCATCTCCCTCCTCAGCCTGCAGCGAATATTACTTGGGATAAAAACACAAAGCGCTTAGAACAGTGCCTTGCACACTGTAAACACCAGATGCATATTAATGATAACTTACTTTTTGCTTTTAAAGAACAACTTAATTTTTTTACAGTTCAGGAAGCTAGAAGTCTGAATTCAGAGCAGAGGCTGTAAGGGTTGTTCCTTTTTAAAAAATACTGTGGTAAATACTCTTATAACAAAATATTTGCTGTTCCAACATTTTTTTTTTTTTTTACATGTACAGGCTAGTGAAATTAATTACTTTCATCATGTTGTGCAACCATCACCATTATCTGTTTCTAAAATTTTCAATTACCTTTAACAGAAGAAACTCAGTGCCCCTAAAGAAAACACTCCTCATCTCTCCTCCCCCCAAATCCTGGCAACTACTAAAAACTATGTACGAATATTATTAATGTCGATAGAGCCTAGCACAGAATCTGACAGTTGGTAAATTCCCAATAAATGGTAGCTACTGTGATCATAAACACTTTAGGCAAAGTTCAGGAAACCACCTCACTTTTCCAAGAGATTAACTGACAGCTTCAGAGGCCTGGTTTCTTAGTGGTGGAGCTAGGATTAGGAGTCAGGTCTCTTAGGAACCAAGGAATTCACAGTTGGAAGGAGCCTCAGAACTCACCTAGCCTAGCTCTGACCCACATTTTCTGTTCTGGCTGCCCAGCTTTCTGACTCCTCTCCAGCAAATTCTTTCCCCTGTCTGATTTTCTGATCTCTTCTTCCAAGTCCCAGCTTCTTCCTACTGTATCTGTCCCCTCTCACCCCCATCACTCTCTTTGGTTATGAATTTCCCTTTTTCTAAATTCCTGTTCCTCTTTGCCTAGACCCCATTTTCTCACAGCACCCCAACGTTACCTGCTGTTCTGGCAGCTCTGTCTCCAGCACCTCAGAATCCCCTGGGGAGGCCTTATCCAGGGGCCTAGATCCTGGAGCTCTGTCCATGCCCTGCAAGAGGGGACCCAGAGCTCAGTACGGGGCTGGGAGGGCTGGGGAGTGGCTTCAGTGGCCTTTCTGCCCTTCCCACAATCCCCATCCTTCTGGGGACTTTTGTGTCAGAAGGTGGAGAGCTCTGGTAGTGGGTCTGAGACTGAATTCAAGGGCAGGAGGGTAGCGGTGGTACAAGTGGTGTGGCTAAGTACTGGGGTGGGAGGAAAGAAGGGAGGAGAAGAGTAGGCCTTGGGTTCCGCGTCACAAGCCTTTCTTCAACTTCCTGGTTGTCCTGGGGAGTTTCAGGTAGGGCTGACTCAGAGGGACTCACCTTCAAATGGACGTAGTCATACTCCTCAGCCATCGGGATGCCTTCATACTCATTGTGGTGTCCCTCTGGATCGTCCTCCGCCTGCCCACCCTCTGGATCCCCTTCAGCCTTGGGAGCCCCATAGCTAGGCAGGCGGGGTGGGGTTGGCGGCAGAGGCCGGTCCTGGATGTTGCCCTTTCTGCCTGGGGCAGGAGAGGGAGCTGGAGAAGGGCTGGGGGCCTCAGGAACAGGCAGCGCAGGCAGAGGGCGGCGGGACAGGCTCTCAGTTAAAGGCAGCTGGGGCCTGTGTGGGGGTAGTGGGCTCCTGGCCAAAATCAGGGACAGAGTGTCCAGGCCATTGGATGCTGAGGCTCCCGGGGGCTCTGGGGAAGGGGGTGCCTCTGGCCCCAGCAGGGGCACATCGTAGATGCCCTCATCGGTGCCTCCGTCTTCCCCTTCTGCCAGCAGTTCTTCAGGTGCTTCATACAGATTGAGCAGGGCTGATGCCCGTTTCAGGTTGGAGGGGGCAGCATAGAGGGGGGGCCCTGGTTCCCGGCCCCCCTCCCACTCCAGATCAGGCTCCAGTTCTGTGGGTGGTTTTGGGGCCAGTGGCACATCATAGGGAGCTTCATCCTCCCTAAGATGCTGTGGGGCCACCCTGACCGGAGGGCGGGAAAAGGAGGCAGGGGAGTCATACGGGTCACTGGAGGGAACCCGGAGAGCAGCGGGAGGCACATCATAGACCTGGAGAAAGGGAATGCTTAATTATCCTAGGCCCCCATCTGCTCCTCACCCACATACACACGGGTCTCCATGTACAGGCAAACCCCTACCCTCACCTCTAAAGTGTCTCCAGAGGCAGCCAGCTGGCTCCCACTGCCTCTGGGGATCTTGTAGATGGGGTCAGGGGAGGGTGGACAGGTTTCAGCCAGAGATCCTAAGGTGGGACAGGGTCGAGCTGGGGGTGGCACCACATACACCTGGGGATCAAGATAAACATGTAGGTCAGATGGAGTGAGGGGGCTTGAAGGAGCTTAGAGGCCTTCCAACCCCCTCCCAGTACTGATGGGGAAACAGAGCCCAGGAAGGCTTGGTCTTCAGGCTCCGCACAGCGCAGTCACTGAAGAACTGAGGTCAACGTGCCCTGCTTCACTGCAGGCCCCACAGGAAGGGCACAGGGCTGAATTCAGGCTCTCCAGCTCTCACCTCCTGCTCCTTAATGCCATGCTCTGGGACTGGATATGGTGAGCCAGGCTGGGCTTGGGGTGCCTGGGAGACGCTGGGCTTGGGCGCTGGGCCAGTGGAAAGGAGCTTCACTCTGTTGGCAGGCACGATGCCCTGCTGGCCATGCAGGGAGCAGAGGCACCAGCCGTCCAGCCCTCCTGCACCCTCCCGCTGCAGTACCCGGAGAACGTCCCCTCGGCGGAAGGACAGCTCCTGGGGGGACTCAGCGGTGTTGTCGTAGAGTGCCCGGGCCAGCTGGGCCTGGTGGGTGAGGTAAGAGTGGGAAGGGGGCTTCACACACATATCCGGTCATGTCAGAACCCCTCAGCCCCAAATCTGAACTGGCTCACCTCTCCCTCACTGAGCCCACCTTGTCTCTAGTTTCACCTTCTTCCTTTCTATTCCTTCTGTTCCTTGTACTCTTCCCTTGACTCCTTACCTTGTTGTTGGTAAGTGCCACTGAGTTGGTTCCGACTCATAGCAACCCTATATATATAGGGTTTCCAAGGAGTGGCTGGTGAGTTTGAATTACCTACAGTGCCACACAAGGACTTCACATGTTATTGGGCCTTACTTTAAAAAAAAGTCTTTCAGCCTCCTTCTCAAAGAAGCCTTTTCTTCACTCCTCCCTGGCCCTCCATTCTGTCTCCACACATTATTTTTGTCATAATTCTTAATACAATGTGGGGGCTTCAAAAAAAAACAAGTTGGAAAATTCTATTATTTTTTAATTCCATTTTCCATTAACTTTTGAAACCCACTTCTATTTGTCTATTTACTTTTTTTTTATTACTGATTCCTTTCCTTATACTATAAATCCTGTGCGAACACGAACTGCTATACTCCTAGCACCTGCAGTAGAGCCTGTTTCACAATTAGTCCTCAATATTCATTGAATACATTTCTTCCAAAGCCTTGTACGTGCTTGAGGAAGTCCTGCTAAAAAAGTCTTCCACAGACTCTCCTTTACCTTCCTTAGCTGATGTCCCCCACAAGCAAATCGTTAGATGAAACAGTTTCAGAGATCACCCATCCTAAGCAAATGGGGAAAGTCTAGTCCAGACAAGAGTGCCTAAGCATAATAATGAAGAAAACAAAAACTGAAGCAATTGTTTTCTTCTTAGTCTGAGCAAATCCCAGAAGACTGAGGTTACCATGGAGAAAAGTGTACATTTGTGTGTGTGTGTGTGTAGAGAATGCTGTTGAATCAACCAAGAAAAACATTTATCTTGCTTTTTCTTAGCTTGTTTCTAGTCCATCGAGGGCCATGTGCTCAGGTAGTAAGTCACAGATGTTTCTGTTGTTAGTTGTTGTCCACTGATTGTGACTCATGGTGACCTCCCATATGACAGAGTAGAAGTGCTCCACAGGGTTTTCTTGACTGTAATCTTAATGCAGAGTCCTGGTGTCGCGCTGTGGATTAATGTGCCAGACTGCAAAGCCGTTTGAACTGCAAGGTCGGCGGTTCAAGCTTACCAGCTGCTCCTCGGAAACCCTATACAGGGTCGCTATGGGTCGCAACCGACTCGACGGCACTTCACAACAACGACAATCTTAATGGAAGCAGATCACCAGGCTTATCTTCTGTCGCTGAAGGATAAGCACTCGACCACAAGCTTGGTTTGAACAACAAGGTTGGTGGTTCAAACTCACCAGCCGCTCCTCAGAAACCCTATATAGGGTTGTTATAGGTCAGAACCAACTCGACAGCATTTAACAACAATCTTCAGTGATACTGCTTTGTTGTTGTTAAGTGCCATTGGTTCCAACTCTTAGCGACCCTGTATAGGGTTTCCAAGCAGTGGCTGATGAGTTTGAACTGCCAACCCTGTGGTTCAAATCGACCTTGCGGGTATTGCTGGGTGGATTCAACTCAGCAACCTTTAGGACAGTAGTTGAGGGTAAACCATTTGTGTAAGTCACAGATGTTGTATGACATAGAGTAGATTATGACTCATAGCAACCCTACACTGAGATAGAACTGCCCCCTAGGGCTCCTAGACTGTAATCTTTATGGAAGCAGATCACCAGGTCTTTTTTCACACAGGGGAAACTAACTGGTGGGTTCGAACTGCCAACCTTTTGGAAAGCAGCTGAGCACCGGACCTCCAGGATTTCTTAGTCACAGATAAATCCACCCCCATCAAGATCATTCCTACTCATAGTCATCCTATAAAACACAGTAGAACTGCTTGGTAGGATGCCCAAGGCTGTACATCTTTATGGAAACAGACTGCCTTATCTTTCTACCAATGATCGGTTGGTATACTTGAACCGCTGTCCTTTAGGTTAACAACTCAACACTTAACCCACTGTGCCACCGGGGCTCCTTAGTTACATATGTTGTTGTTAAGTACTGTAGAGTCAGTCCCTACCCATAGCGACCCTGCACAGGGTTTCTGAGGAGCAGCTGGTGAGCTTGAACCACCGACCTTGTGGTTCAAACTGACTTTGCAGTCCAGCACATTAACCTACAGCGCCAGAGTGTGAATTATATGCCCAGGTATTGTGTACGTCTTTACACTAATTATTTCATTTAATACTCACAACGACCTTGTGAGGGAGGAGGCATCACTATTTCCATTGTGGAAAGGAAGTGGGAACAGAAAGGTTAGTACCTTGCCCAATGATGCACAGGCTGTTTGATTCCTGCACTCAAGCACTTGCTTTACTGCCTCTCCACAATCACAAATGTACAGACTTTTATTTTCTTTTCTTAAAAATTAGTTAACAGTAATTGACTCAAGAGAGCCCATGACTCAAACATGAGTCAAGAGCATATGAAGGCTTCATTATGCCAATTTCCCTTTGCTAACAACAATAACATTAACTCTTCACAGTGATCAAGTTTCAGGGTATCCTTTGGTAGAATTAAGCATGTTGTTGCTGTTAGGTACTGTCAAGTTGGTTCCGATTCATAGAGACCCTGTATAGGGTTTCTGAGGAGCAGCAGCTGCAGGTGCTTTTGAACTGCCAACCTTGTGGTTCGCAGTCAGCGCTGATCCTATAGTGCCACACCTGGAATTCAGAATCAAGCTTAAACCACTCAAAATGCCAAATTACCTCTGTCACATTGAAGTTATGATTATTAAGTGACCATATCTGCTGCCAGGGCCTAGGGCAGTGGAGGCTTACATATGGATGATGGAGAGAGCAGGTAGTCTGGTAATCCACACATGCTGACCAACTCAATACAAAATGTCAAGGTGAAGACCTCAGGCAGAATGCACCTGGGGAGAAGGATGCCCTGTTCCTCAGGTATGAATGCATGTACCTCTTGGCAAGTGTTTCCCTCTGTGGAAGGCTGTCCATCCTTCATGGCTGGCTGACTTTTAACAACAAATTAAATAACTCCTCCTCTTGCCTGATGCCAAACTCACCAAACTATTTTCTGATTATATTTTGGCTCCTAAAGGATAGTGTCCCACAGAAAAAAGCCATGCCAACCAGATGGCACAAGGAGCTCTGGTATAGCATTATGGTTATGAATCAGGCTGCTAATCTCATGGTCAGCAATTCAAAACTACCAGCTGTTCTGCAGGAGAAAGATGAGGCTTTTTGCTCCCGTTAAGAGTTACAGCCTCAGAAACCCTGTACAGGGTTTCTAGGAGTCGGAACCAATTCCAAGGCACTTAACAACAACAACCAGATGGCACAGATTTCTGGCTATCTCAGCATGTTTCTTTCTCACTGTAAACTATAAATCTAGCCAAGGGTTTAAGAGTCCAGTTCTAGAGGCAGGCAGACCTGGGTTTGAGTCCTGGGTCTGTCCCTTTCTGGCTGGGTGACTTTGGGCAGGCTTTTAAACTTTTGGAGCTTCAGTTTTCTCCTCTGTAAAACTGGGATGCTAATATTACTATCCCCATAGGGTTGTTGTGACGTCGTGGTGAGATAATGTATCAAAAACCCATGAGAAAGCGTAGCATAGTGCCAGGTATACTAAATGCTCAATATATATTAGTTGTTATTAAGATTCTGAGAGTTTTGATTGGCATAAGTCATCTCCCATGGGCCTGCTCACTTCTGAGTAAAAGTAAGGAACAATCTGCCCCCTGGGGCTACAAAGCTGGCCAGCTGGCTCCTGGGCCAGCATCCTTATGTCAGAGTGCCCCCACTGTTTTCAAGACCTCTCCCAGCTTTGAGCTGGGAGTTTTCTCACCATCACACAGACTGAGGAACTAAAAGGAGTTTGGTCTAAGAAAGAGCCAAATTGAACCCAGTAGACCCCCTTCATGGCTATGGGAAGAGGGTTCTTTTCTCTTTCCAGTTTCATTATCATCCTTCCCAAAGCCCACAAGCAGAGGGGCAGAAAACAGGTGGCAGCTTCACTTTCCCTGGAAGTCCCTTGGATTCGGGCTACAATGCATAAGATAGAAAGCAGAGGTGGGGCTATGAGTTGCTCCTCCCTGTTAGGTTTGAATTCTGCCCAATGGGGCCAAACCACCGGGACTTGCAATTACAGGAAACCTAGAATCCAGCAGCATCTCTTTAGGATAAAGACCTGGAAATCTGCTTCCATAAATATTACAGCTAAGAAAATCCTATGGGGTCACTTATATTCTGTCACAAGGTCACCTAATGTAGATGACACCTACAGATAACAGAACACCAACAACCAGAGTTGCTGATAAACTGATTGATGATGGGTGTGACCCACCCCTGCTCTACTCCCTTCTCAAAGGCCCAGCTGACTTGAGAGGGAATGGATGGCTTAAAGGGGGTGGCTGTGGGCCACGTGTTCTTTGGGAGGCCTCCTCCCAGTTCCATCCCGCCAGCTGTCTCCTCCCTTTGTCCCCAGTCCCCAGAAAGTGGCCTGAGGCTGGCTGACATCAGCTCTCCTCCCCTCTCTATTTTTTCTCTTTCTCACTGCCTGATCTCCCTCCATTGCTCTTTCCCCTTTTCTCCATTCTCCTCTGGCGATGGGCCTCCATGATCCTTTGATCTCTCCCATTTTCCTTGAGCTATCACTTCCTTTCAGCCCCCTCCCAACGTGTTACTAGCCTCCCCATCACAAGCCCCTGCCAACCACAAGTTGCCATCTGTTCCCACCCATAAAAGAGCAGATAGGACTCAAGCTGCACTAGCCCCCCTTTTCTTCAGCCTCTAGGAAGCAAAAAAAAAAAAAAAAGAGAATGAAGAGGGTGAGGGTAAGAGTGGCGATTCAGAATCGCAAAGAGCGGAGGGGATGAGGTGAGAGCGAGAAGGAAACAAAAGTGAGAGGAGGAGACACAGCCTCGGCGGAGAAACCAAGGAGAGGAAGAAAGACAAAGAGAGGGCAGGAATAAAAGTGACAAGAGTGCATGGCAGGCTGTGGAGGTCCCTGCTTAGCAGCCTCCGCTCACTTAGGGACTCACCGACGTGGCTATGGCCATGGCCTCGGCCTCCCGCTCGGCCTGCTCCAGGCCAGGCTCGGTTTTGCTGACTTCAGCAGCGGCTGCCCAGCAACATGGTCCAGTGCCTCTAGTCCACGAGGCGGCTCTCGACTGCAGAGCCTAAGTCGTGGCCTCCGTCGACGTTGGAGGAGGAGAAAGAAAGTCCACAAAACTCCCCAAATGGGAGGCAGCTAGGCCCGGCAGGAGGTGGAGTGGGGCGGGTCGGGGCGTCGCTGCGGGATCTCATCCAAGGGCGTGAGCTCGGTACCGTCCCCGCGGCCTCCCGGGGGCTACCAGGCTGTCAGTGTCCCCGGGGCTGCTGGCCCTAGGCCGCGGAGGCTCCCCAGATCCGCATGGGTCGAAAGCTCCCTTCCAGGTTGACGAGGAGGCGGGGGCTGGGGCAGTGCTCGACGCCTCTCCAGGCTGCTCTGGGCGGCCCCGAGGGCTTGGAGAAGCCGCCGGGGCGGTTCGTCTGGGCGAGCAAGTTTTGGAATCAACCTTCCCCACCCGAGGGCCTCGCAGACGAACGGGACTCCCAGGGCTGTGGTCTGGGTAGCCGGGGGTGGGTGGGGTGGGGGTGCACTGCGGCAGGACCTGCTGGAAAGGCACCAAAGAAAGCAAGAACTAAAACGTTTGTCCCTCTTCAAACTCTTTCAAGTAGCGTAGGGAGGCCGGACAGGAGCCAAAGGCCTACGGGAGCGTGACTATTGGGTTGGGTTGCTGGAGTGGCTGCTTTCTGTTCAGACACTCGCACCCCACGGCGGTGCAGCGGGCTCACGCACGCACACTTGCTCTCAGCAAGTTCGGGAGCCAGGGGACGCCGCGACGGGCAAGGCCCTTAGAAGTGGGGCGGCCTGGCTAACTCATGCAGGCGCCCTTGGCAGCAGAGGGGCGCCGTCCACCTCCTACCCTCCGCCTCCGCGCGCTGGGCCGAGCAGGCCGGCCCCCACCCTCAGTCCCAGGGCACCCGACGTTGGCCCCGCAGCCCACTCTCACACGCACCCTAGGCTGAGCCCCTCGGCAGCTCCCAGGTATCTCTGGGAACGAAGGGAAAGGTCACAAAGCAAAAGAAGCAAAGGAAAGGCAAGAACAGAGCAGTGGCTAGCGTCCCGTGGACTCGCCTGGGGGGTGTGGGGGAGAAACCCTGAGAAGGTCCCCTCCGAAGCAGGAGGGCTGGGAAGGTTTCAGGGTTCGCGCGTGGCCCCTAGGCTCACCCCCCGTTCGCGGCTACCCTCCCTTTCCCAGTCTCCTGGCTCCCTCTCAGTGCAGTTTCTTCCTCCTCCCCTCGGGCCCTCTCTTCTCCGGCGCGAAGCGCAGTCCTGGGGATTAAGAAAAAGAGGGAGGGGAAAAACGAGGGGGCGGAGGAGAAAGGAGGACGGTCCTTCCAAAGGCGGGTGTAGAGTTTCAGCTTGGGACCCTCGGGCCAAAAGGCACGCCCCTTCCCGGGCCCTCCGCCCGGCGCCTCCTTCCAGACTTCGCGGAGGACCCTTTGGTGATCTGGTCAGCTCCCTCCGGGGAGCTTTCGTCTCCGCACCACGCCCCCGCCCTCCCCCGCCAGCCCTGCGCCTCTCTTCATCTCCCTTTCATTAGCCCCACATCTGTCTTTCCCCATGGGAGGGAGCGCGCTCCTTCCGTTTTGCTGGGGTCCTTGGCGGAGCCTATCCACTCCCTGGCTGTTGCCTCTGCAGGGATGATAGGCTGTTCCTGCGGAGGACGGGTCCGAGTCCGGGACTGGACTTGAATTCTGGTCCTGGCGGGAAAACGTGAAGCCAGAACGCCTGGCCCCAGAGCTACAGAAGAGCCGGTTGGGCAGCCTATCTATCACACTCTGCCAGTCTGGGCCTGTCCCCCGCCTCACCCAGGTACACTCCTACTGCTCGGGAGGAGCAGGAGTGGGGACCACTCTTTTACAGAGGAACTGGGATCTGAACTCAGAAATTTCAGTTGAAAGGACAAAGTTGTTGTTGTTTTTTTAAATCCCCCACACCTCGCTGCCCTTTCTGTTATTTCTTAGATGGTCTGTTTATTTCCAGCCACCTCCTTACCCTGTTCTTCCTGGGACACACTTTAGAGGTTTGAGGGAAGCGCAAAGAATACAATTTCTGAGGTTCCGGGTCTTCTGGAGGGCCGTTCTGCGGGATAAATGGTGAGGTTTTCTGCTTCGGTGAAGATTTAAAGGCCTATGAAACAGTTGGATCACTATGAGTACTAACCAACTTGAGGCAAGGCACTTAAAACAAGCAGAATTGAAAGGCATAATATATTTTTGAATGTTTACATTTAAGGAGCCCTGGTGGTGTAATGGTTAAAGAGCTTGGCTGAAAATTTAACAGCTGGCAGGTTCAAATCCACTGGGAGTCTCCCATAAAGATTGTTGTTGTTTAGTGCCGTCAAGTTGGTTCCGACCCATAGCGACCCTGTATAGGGTTTCCAAGGAGCGGCTCGTGAGCTGGAACTGCCGACCTTGCGGCTCAAATCGACTTTGCAGTCCAGCACATTAATCCACAGTGCCACAAGATTATTGTTGTTGTGATGTGCCGTGGAGTCGGTTCCGACTCATAGTGACCCTGTACAGGGTTTCCGAGGCTGTAAATCTTTACAGGAGCAGCAAGCCTCATCTTTCTCCCACGGAACAGCTGGTAGTTTCCAACTGCTGACCCTGAGGTTAGCAGCCCAACCTTGCAAAACCTTATGAGGGTACCTCTACTCCATGCAATAGGGTAACTGTGAGTTGGAATCTACTGGAAGATAGTGGGTTTTGGTTTACTTTGAACAAATCAATACTTCAAATATATAAAATAGCCAGTGTCTATACATAACCTCAAAGTCTGGGTTGCTATGGGTCAGAACCAACTCAATGACACTTAACAACAATCTGTAACCTCATTAGGAGGTAACATCAGAAGTTTAAATTTAAGGCGCTTTATGAACTTGAGGATTTAGACAAATGTGTGTTGTGTCCCCCCTCCCCCCCATAAACATTCCACAGACCCACACATCCAGGCATTTCCTAGGACATTGGGAGAATACCTGGCTTACTTAACTCCTTCACTACCCTGATGTTTGGGCAGTTATGAGAAACACTCTGCAGAGGCCAGGGATGGAGCCTATGGGTAGATTAGGGAGAGACACTGGGATGAACATGGGATGAACCATGTTGTTTATGGGCTTGGCTCGGAGATGAGGTACAGAACAGGGCATGAGGCTGGGAATCCTGAACAGATCCAGACTCCATTAAGACTATGTATGGCACAGATACATCGGAAGAGAGAATGTCTTCATCCCAGCTTCACCCTGGTCTGAGGTAGCCACTAGGGATATTTCTCCCACCTCCTTCAGACCCCAACTCTGGGAAGTGGAGTGGGAGTAGTGGTTGACCACCTGGAATAACCGTTGTTGGGGAGTAATTGGTATGGTCTCTGCTCAGAGAACTGTCGAAGCAAATTGAGACCCAGGGTAGGGGTGGACAGGAAACCATGTGCTCAAAGAGGAATTCTGTAACTGACTCAAAAGAAAATAGGTTGTGGCCAGAAAGGGCTAAGCAGGAAAGAAACTGGTAGGGTCAGGGTAAACTGGTGACTTGGGAGATGGGCAATGGAGCTCATTGCCCATAGTCCAATGCCTGGGATGTTGGTGAGAGACATCAGAGTGCAAACCAGGAAAATACGTTCTGGAGTTTTCAGGCATGAATGGAATCAGTCTGACTTGGGTGTGAACCCTGGTGTAAACCAGGATTAGCTGTGTGATCTTGGTCAACTTATATAATATCTCTGACTCTTAGTGCCTCATCTGTAACAATGACTTGGGTGCCTGGTACAATGGTCTTCCTTGGCTTTTCCTTTTCACCTTGCTCCTCCTCTAACTTTTGCTGTCACAAAAGTTCCAAGCATGTTTCTTTGTGAGGGCAGGGGGAGTCTTTTCCCTGTCCTGAGCCTTCATTTCTGGCCTCTCCTTTGCCGGGAAGTTTTAGGTGATTTTAACTTGTTCCAATTAAAGTTGAAGAAAAATCAGACCCAGTAGGTAACTAACATTCTGGATGGGCTGTAGCTTCAGGTAGTTGGGCCCTCAGCTTCAGTGTCTGCCTTGGCAATGTTCAGGAGGTAGCAGGAAAGGAACCCCTCTATCTGGTTTTCAGGATTCCAGTCTTTTCTCCTACTCTTTCTCCTCCCCAGCAGGATCTGACCATCTGGTGTCTTCCTCATTCCATCCATGACTTCCTGTACTTGTTCTTGTTCCTCCTGCTCCCTAAACCTTCTCAGGTGCTCACGGATCCTTCCCTGTTCTCTCTGGCCTCCCCCACAGCACCCAGATAGCACGGGTTCTCATCCTGGTTCCAACACAAGCTATGTAACTTTGTCAAGTACATGACTTCTGGGAGCCTCTGGTCCTTGTCTATAAAATGGGGATAATAATGGAATACTGTAGGATAAGCACTGGACTACTAACTGCAAAGTTGGTGGTTCAAACCCAGCAGCTGATCCCTGGAAATCCTATACAGGGTTGTTATGTGTCAGAATCTACTCAAAAGCACTTAACAACAACATCAATGTTATTGTCAGGTGCTGTGGAATCAGCTCGTAGAAACCCTAAACACAACAGAATGAAACACAGCCAAGTCCTATCCCACCCCCAACAATTGCTGTTTTGGAGCCTATGGTGGTGGTGGTGGTGGTTATGTGCCGTGGAGTCAGTTCAGACTCATAGTGACCCTGTACAGGGTTTCTGAGACTATAAATCTTTACAGGAGTAAAAAGCCTCATCTTTCTCCCGCGGAACAGCTGGTAGTTTGGAACTGCTGACCTTGAGGTTTGCAGCCCGATTCGTAACCACTACGCTACCCGAGCACCCATTTATTGTGAGGATTAAGAGTTCAACTTAAACCCCAATAACTGTGCCTGACCCATGATGCATAAATATTGGCTAAACCCAGCTATTATTATTATTTGCTGCCAGCCATATGGATGTCTGCCCTCTAGAAACTCACATCCTATGGATCACACTTAAATCCAGTTAAAATCTTCCCACTTGAAATAAAATCCAAATGTTCTATCATAGCTCGTCAAACTCTATATGATCTGGTCCCTGCCCACCTCTTTTATCTCATCTCTTCCCATTCTCCTCTTAATTCTTTGCTTTCATCCACATGGTCCTTTCTGTTTTTCAAATAACGCCAAGCTTTTCCCCACTTCTAGGATGACATATGTCCTGTTACTTCTATTAAGAACACTTTGCCCATAGACTCTTTCCATGAAGGTTATACATTCTTCATCCTCAGAATGGTCTTTCCTGACTTTCCAAGTTAAAGTTATGACTTCTCTTCCAACAGTAACTCCCTGTCTGCTAACACTGTTTCAATTTCTTCATAGCACTTACTGCTATTAGAAATTATCTTGTTTCCTTGTTTATTATCTTGAAATATAAACTTCACAAGGTCGGCACCTTATTTGGCTTTTACTCCTGTGCATTTCTGGCATTTAGAATAGTGCCTCAAGTATAGTAGATGCTCAACAATACTTAGTGAGTAGATGAAAGAACAAGGGCAACCATGACCATAGGACAAAGTTGAGTAAGCCCAGGGCCCTCCTTGGGAAGGCACCAGACTTGGGCTTGGGGAAAGGAGTTGCTGGGCTCTTTGTTCTGCTCACTCCATTTCTTCATGTGTCATTTCCCTGTGTTCTCCTGAGTCTAAGCATCTTTTTAGCTGAAAGTAATATTAGCAATCACAACCCAATTGCCCATCAACAGACAAATGAATAAACAAAATGTGGTACATATTATTTAATCAGAAAGAGAAATGAACTTCTGATGCATGCTACCACAAGGGTGAGCCTTGAAAAAATTGTGTTGACACAAAGGACAAATATTGTATGATTCCATTTTTAGGAAAAATCTAGAATCGGTAAATTCATTGAGATGAATCCAAAGGCAAATAGTAGTTGTCAGAGGTAGTGGGGAAGAGAGAATGAGGGGTTAAAAAAAAAAAAAAAAAAAAGACTTCAAGAGTCACACAGAAAGAATTCAAGGATAATTTGGAATATGGAATACGTATGGGTTTCCTAGTACTAGCTCTGTGGCTTCAAATAACAGAAATTTATTCTTTTATGGAGTCTGTTGTAATTGTGTGCCTTTGAGTCAATTCCAACTCATAGTGACCCCATGTGACAGAATAGAACTGCCCATAGCACAGTTTTCTTGGCTGTAATCCAATTGTATCAAGACAATCTGCCTCCATCTTCATATGGCCCTCTTCTCCGTATTTGTGTCTTCTCCTCTTCTTATAAGGACACTTGCCATTGGATTTAAGGCTCATCAAAATAATCCAAAATAATCTTTTCTCAAGATTCTTAATTTAATCACATCTCCAAAAACCTTCCCCTCCCCCAAGTAAGATCATATTCACAGATTCCAGATGAACATATCTTTTAGGGGGCCACTATTCAATTCACCACATAATAGATACAGAGTAGATAAGAGTTTAAGGTAAATCTAACCCTGAATTCTAGGAGTCCTAGTGTGGCTCTGTGGGTTAATGCACCAGACTGCAAAGCCGTTTGAACTGCAAGGTTGGCGGTTCAAGCTCACCAGCTGCTTCTCGGAAACCCTATACAGGGTCACTATGAGTTGGGATCGACTCTATGGCACTTAACAACAACAGCAACATTATTTATGGAGTCCTGGTGTGGTGCTATGGGTTAATGTGCTGGACTGTGAAGTTGGTTTGAACCATTTGAGCTCATCAACTGCTCCTTGAAAACTCTATATATGCACTTAACAACAACAACAACATTATTTATGGAGTCCTGGTGTGATGCTGTGAGTTAATGTGCTGGGCTGCAAAGTTGGTTTGAACCGCAAGCTCACCAACTGTTCCTTGAAAACTCTATATAAGGTTGCTGTGGGTCAGAATTGACTTGACTGCACTTAACAACAACAACAAATATTATTTATGGAGTCCTGGTGTAGCACTGCAGAATAGTGCACTGGACTGCAAGGTTGATTTGAATCACATGGTTGATGGCTCAAACTCACCAGCTGCTCCTTGGAAACCCTATACAGGGTTGCTGTGAGTTGGAACTGACTTAATGGCACTTGACAACAACAACAACACATTGTTTATACTAAAGCATAAATGACGGATGTTCAATGTTTCCTAAAAGAAGTTTTTTTAAAAAACAATAAATATCTATGACCTGGTGAAAAATGAGGGAAGAAAGAAAAAAAAAAGAACGAGTACTAGGACCCAACTACTAATCAAAACATAGAAACACAATTTAAACCAGATTCTAGGAGCAAACTTTGCCAGTAGGAGCAAACCTTTCAGTTACTGGATCATAGGCGTTAAATCTCTTCCTCATGGAGGCTATAGTAGGGAGGTGTCCCAGGAGGCTGAGGGCAGTTTCTATTTATCAGCAGGTGCAGAACTGTTGCAACATTTTTAACAAACTGTACCCCACCTTCAAGAAACTCTGGTAGCATAGTAGGTTTTGAGTTGGGCTGCTAGGCTCAAGGCCAGCTGTTCGAATCTTCCAATGGCTCTATAGTAGAAAGATGAGGCTTTCTGCTCCCATAAAGATTTATAGCCTCGGAAACCCTATACAAAGTCATTATGATTTGGAAGTGACCCCACAGCACATAATCACTACCACTCCCCAGCTTCACATATGGGCCTTAATAAACGGTGTTGAGCCCTGTGGCATTCAGCACTATTTTAAGAGCTGAGGTCCAGAGCAGCTAAATTGATTGCTATCTTTATGGTCATCAGACACATTCTCCCTAGTTCCCCTTAATCTACAGATGAGGAGCAAGGACCAGAGAGGATTCAAGGCCAAAAGGGGATCAGATACAGAGTTGGGAGTTCAAGGAGCAGGAGAGGACTTGAATGCCTTTCTGGGAAGGGACAGACAATCATATTCTGCCTTACTGCTAGCCCTAAGAGCCTTTTCTAGGTCAAGGGTCGGGGGTATATTCCATCACATCTTCCTTGCCCTTTCGTGCTGCTAGGTGCTGATCTCTTGTTCCCAGGGGGATGGGGGTGGGGATCCCAGCAAGCCCTCACTGGCTGCCAGGTCAGGCCTAGGCAGGTGAGGACACATTGGGAGGGTACCCTTGATGTCACCTGCTGGGCAAACTTTCCTTTGCACCACCTCCAGCATTCTCCCCAGTGCCTCCCCCATTTCCTCACACCTCCAAGTATTCTCTGGAAGTTGAAGTGACTCAGGAATTCCAAAACCAATCACCCCAAGAGGAAAGCCCTCTGGAAAATGTTTCTCATGGCAGGGAGTCAACCTAAGGATCCCACAAGATAAGGGCAGACACTGAACAAATGGGTGGGGTGGGGGTGTGTGGCTCAGAGCACAGGTCTCAGCTCAGGCCTGGGCATCATAGAGTAGGAAAAGCCCACCTTGAGAGACTGTGCTTGCAGGAGCCCCCTCTCTGCCTTTCAGTGGTTTCTTCAAAGGAGGGTCTGGCACGGAGGCAATGGTCTCTGTTGTCACACACTGACCTCAGCAACCCAGTCCGGGTCCTGTCTGCAGTGTTAGCAAATGAAACAAGTAGCTTGGACCACTTTCAGCTCCTTTGAGCACCCCTCCTGGACAGCAGGGGCAAAGGTCAGGAGAACTGGACCACAGCTAGGCTTCAGTTCTGCTCCCCTCATCCTGAGGTTCTCATTGGTTTGGGGGAGACCAGCAGGCATCAAGTTCTTCTGAAACAGTGCTATTCCCTAAAAGCTTGTTCTAGGTCAGGGGGGTGCTGAGGTGCACAGAGCCATTCTGGGATTATGTGCCAGACACTGGGGATCAGAAAACTGGAGTAGTGGATCCCAGCCACTAGGGTTGAATGCCTAAGTGGGCAAGAATGCCTTGTGACCTTGGACAAATGCAGGTGAGACCTGTCCCATCCCAACCGCAGGTGAGTAGGAAAGCATTTGCTGCAGGGGCTCCCCATCTATTTGCAGCCAACTGTGGGCTGGCTCCGTGTGTTTCCTCCAAGGCAGGGACTTAGATCTGGAGTTGGTTGGGACTGGAATTGAAAACCAGCTCTGTTTCTTTCTAAGTGTGTGACCTTGGGTAGGTTGCTAAATTTCCGTGGGTCTGTTTCCACATCTGTAACATGAGAATAATGGTTCTCATCGTATGGTTTTATTGTAAGGATTAAATGAGATGATGTATGTACAGGGCGTAGAACCATTCCTGGTACATGTCAGTGCCCAGGGGCTGAGGCCAGCACTGTATGGAAGGGAGAGATGTCTGGGCCCATAGGGGCTAGAGGGTGGGGAATGGGAATGGGAATGGGATGATGATATTCCTGGTTTCGTTACTGTTTTTAAATGTTCCTGCTCTCCAGCCACCATTTAGTTCTCCTAAGGCCCCCTCCCCTGCAGTTCCTCCCCACCCCCAAGACTTACTGGTTTCCCCGGTTCTCCAGAATGTCCACCAACCCCATCACTCCCCTACTTTGGGGCTACTTTGCCTTAAAGCATTTGAAAGGATTCCCCCTTACTGTAAATTAAGTTATTCTTGGTTGTCTTTGTTTAGTTTCTGAGTCCTTAGTTACCAGAGGAGTATTTTCTAAGGGAAAGCACATGCAAATCAGGAAACATCATTCTAGATACAATGTCTGTGTATGAGTGTGTTGGGGGAAGGTTGTGGGTGTGGGGTAAGGGAGGTCAATAACAATGGAGAAAATAGACTTGGAAGGGTGGACCCTAGTGGACCTGTGTCTTTGGGGTTATGCATAGCTCTGAGCCTATCTGGAGCAAACATACTTCCTCCTGGCCCATGAAACTGTGAGGGCTGAGCAGCTACCACCCCCTACTATGGCCCTTATTTCCAATCTTACTTGTGGAATTGGGGGCAGGCTGGTCCCTGGAGCTGGGACCTCCTGTTGGGTCTTAGATGAGGTTGTTTCCATGCTCATCCTCTTCCTTACTTCAGCTTCTCATATGTGTAATGGGACCAGTCACCCACAGCTTCTTCCATCAGATCAGCTAATAAATTGATGGGGTTAGGGCCTTCCTGGAAATCTTGTGGGTTCGGCTTGTATCCTTACCCTAGGCAAAAGGATCAGCTAAAGTGTGGGGATGGGAGTGACCATTGCAGAGAGCAAAGGGAAGTTAGGGGGAAAGTAATGAACAATGGGGGAGAAGTTATAGATGATGGGCACCATAGAACTTGAGGCCATCGAAAATGAGGAAGGGGCTAGTGGACAAAAGGGATATGGGTTGTGATAATTAAGGTTTTGTGTCAACGTGGCTAGGCCAGGTTCTTGGTGGTTTAGCAGTTCTGATGTAGTCATCACCTCCATGATGAGATTACTTCATGTTGCAATTGATGTGATCAGTCCTGATCTGACGTAATTGTCCTATGTGTTACATATTTTCACTGTGTTCTGTGATCTTAATGAGGCCAGATGCAATCTACAGGATTAGGTCGTATCTTGAGTCAGTCTCTTTTGAGATGTAAAACAAATTAAACAAGCAAGCAGAGCTCAGGGGGCTATGAGTACAGTGCATCCTGTGGACCTGGGATCCCTGCAGTGTGAAGCTCCTAGATCCAAGGGAAAACTGATGTCAAGATGCATGGAAATCTCCAAGGAATGCTGGACCTACAGATGACCTTTCCCCAGAGATGACAGAAAGAGAATGTCTTCTCCTGGAGACGGCACATTGAATTTAGATTTCTAGTCTTCCTGGTATAACACTGTAGGTTAATGCACTAGACTGCCAAGTCAGTTTGAACCACAAGATCGATGATTCAAGCTCACCAGCCGCTCCTTGGAAACCCTATACAGGGTTGCTATGGGTCAGAACCAACTCAATAGCATTTAACAACAACAACAAACTATGAGAGAATAATTTTCTTTCTTTTTTTTTTAATCATCCACCTGTGGTGTTTCTGTTTAAGCTGCACTAGAGAAATAAGACAGGGGTCAAAGGAGACAGTGGAAACAAGACCCTGAGTGGGAGCAGCAGAAATCATGGAAGTGAGGCTTCTTGAAGAGAGGCAAGATGATAATTTTGGGTACCATGCCAACTAGGGAATTCCCATAAAGATAAAGACTAGCAGACACCATTGCTTTAACCCCACACACGGAAAAGAGTAAAGAGCAAAATTTACTCAATAGGCTACCAGGATTATTATAAAGTTCATCACAACTTCCATCAGTAGAGCATTTAAAGCAGCGTTTGGAAACACTTTCTGGTTTTTTTGGTTTTGTTTTGTTTTTTAATCTCAAGGCACTCCCTCCAAAAGGTAGTGGAAATAAATTTGAATAACCAAAACAGGTTAGCTCGAAATAAAACCAGGACGCTTAAACTGTTCCAGTCAGCCTGCTTCTACAAGCCTGCCAGTCAGTGAACACCTAGTGGCTGAGTGAGCAACAGCTGGCATGTATAAGGTGGGTGTACAGAGAGCTGGCAGAGGACGGTGTTAAGCAGCGAAGGAGCACAAGTGATACAGAGGGAGGAGTCAGGCCAGGTGTCCTGAGCTGGGAGCTGGGAGCTGGGTGGAGCTAGAAACCAGGATCTCAGGGAGCAGCTGAGCCAGTGGTGGACAGGGAGAAGGGACCTAGATTAGTTGAGAGCTGTTTTCTCACTGTCCTTTTCCTACAGGTGGTTGCAGTCCTGGCAGTGGTCATGGGAACCCACGCCTTCAGTTTCCGGCCCCTCAAGGACAACTTCCACCGACTTTGCTGCCGAAGCAAAGAGCAAGCCTCTGAAGACTGGCTGAAGTGGAACCCGGTGGTGGTGACTCCTCCAGAGACGGCCAGCCTCACCTACCATGAAGAGTCCTGCCGTGCCAGTGAGGATGGACCCCTTAACAGCAGGGCCATCTCCCCCTGGAGATATGAGTGAGTTGGCTGTCTCCCCTCCCGAATGCATGCATGTCTTGCTCCCCTCTATGTATCACTCAAGTCCAGACTGTTATTGTTGTGTGCCGTCTTGTCAATTCTGACTCATAATGACCCAGTATGACAGACTAGAACTGCCAGCTAGGGTTTTCTAGGCTGTAATCTTTATGGGAGTAGATTTCTGGGTCTTTTCTCCCAGAGCAGCTGCTAGGTTCCAACTACTGACCCTTTGGTTAGTGCCAATTGCTTAGCCATTGTGCCACCAGAGTCCTGTAAGTCCAGCCTACCTGCCCCATTTTACCTTTGAGAAGTTATAAATTTAGGAGTTAGGTAAGGCCAGGGTTTTAGTATTACCTCTGAATCTTATTGGGTGACCATGAGCCAGTTTTTCAAGGTTCCAAAGCTCAGTGTTTTTCGTCTGTAAAATGAGGATAATACTCTATAGTCAATGTGCATATCAAATAAGTTAGTATGTGTAAAAGGCCATTCTTAGTACAGGAAATATTGGGTCTCTCCTTTGCTTATTTTCCTATCCCTATAGCGGCCATGTTTTTAAATGAAAATATCAGAGAATAATGGTTTATAGGCACAAAGGGGTTCTGGTGTGGCACTGTAGGATAAACACTGGACTGCTAACTGCAAGACCAATGGTTCAAACACAGCAGCCACTCTTCAGAAGCCCTATACAACATTGCTAGAAAGCACTTAACAGCGACATAGACACAAAGTGTCCCAATACCAAACGCTTTGGGCTATGAATAAACTCCATGTACACTAAATGTATTCAGGCCCTCAGTCCTTGTGGGCAGCTGGAGGGCTGGTTATCTTATTCTTTCCCTCAGTATGCCACACAAATATTGTAATTCTCTATTTATGCCATGATGTAAAAAAATATTAGGAAACACTAAAGTAGGTATAAAGAACCAAGACATTAGGTGGTGACTCCATACAATAAGTGCTGGACTGCGAACCACAAGGTCAACAGTTTGAGACCACCAACTGCTCCATGGGAGAAAGATGACGCTTTCTGCTCCTGTAAAGATTTAAAAACCTCAGAAACCCTATGCGGAATCCACTTGACAGCACTTAATAGCAACAACGAGGGCATTAAGGATCCCAAACACTTTTTCTTTTGTCTTGTGTCCTTATTTGTTGTCTGTTTTCCCACTCCCTGTAAGCTTTGTTTTGACACCCTTGATTTGGGGATAGATGAAGTTCAGTGAAATAGATAAGGGTTTAGCTTGAATTTAACCTAGGTACTGCTTTGAAGCATTCTCAAAAGGTGAGTTAGATCCTGGGTCTGATCTGAAGGCGTAGGGATGGGCCCTTTAGGGAATGGCTGACTCAGCTGAGGCCCAGACCCCTCTTTGGAAGGTTCTGAACCCCTGATAACCACTTGACTGGCCTTTCCTAAAGTATATTCTGTGCAACACAAGTTCCATAAGCTGCTCTTCAGAAAAAAGTGACAATGTCAAGTACATTTAGGAAATCTACTACGTCTGGGAGTTTCACAGTGCTCTCAGCTCACTGGAGGCTATAAGAAATCTGCAGAAAACAAGTTATTAAACTCAGTGCTTCCCAAACTCATTTGGCCACAGAACTCCTTTTTATCCTCTCTTCCAGAATCCTTGGTTTTTTTCAGGGTACTTATTAGGGAAACCACTTTGGGAACTGTTTGGGGAATGGTCCTAAAACCTAGGGGCAGTTTTCTGACCTTTGAACTTATTGTTGGTGTTGTTAAGTGTTAAGCGATCCTGTATAGAGTTTCCAAGGAGCAGATGGTGAGTGCGAACCAGGACTTATAAGTGGTTTCAAGTTTTTCTTTGGCCATGAAATCCTTTTTACAAGAAGTCAAAATGTCTTACCACACACGTTTACAGATGCATATAATATATTCATGGAGTCCTGGTGTGGCGCTGTAGGATAAGCACTGGACCACAAGATCGGTTTGATCAACAAGCGTTGGCAGTTCAAACTCACCAGCAGCAAGTTGAAAACCCTATACAGGGTTGCTATGAGTTGGTTCCGACTCAACAGCGCTTAACAACAAGTTAATATATGCATAGACAGTGTCTGAAAGGAAACACAGGAAACTATTCAGAGTGGCTCTCTCAGGGGATTGGAATTGATGGGAAGAAAGACTTAGTCTTTATACTTGATATTCTTTTGTACTTAGATTTTAAAAAATCTGAAAAACTATAAAAAGAAGCCTCATTTCAAAGTCTGGTATATCTATCCGCCAGAAGCAGAGCTGGTCAGTTAGAGGCTCAGGCTCTTGCCTGCTCACTTTCCCCTGCTTCCACCTAAGTCTCTGGATTAGTTGGAAACCACTTTCTAGTCACCCACCCTCATTCATGGAGTCCTGGTGTGGCACTGTGGGTTAATGTGCTGGACTGCAAAGTTAGTTTGAACTGCAAGGTCAGTAGTTCAAGCTCACTATACAGGGTTGCTATGGGTTGGAACTGACTTGACAGCACTAAACAACAACAACAACAACCCTCATTCACACTTTGGGAAAAGAAATCCTACAGAGGAGAGGGTGATTTGTTCAAAATCAGGCAAGTTCATGCCAGAGCTGGAACTAGAAGCCAGGCTGCCCACTGCACTGTTGTCTTTCTCTGGCATTCCCAACTCCCTGCCCACCCCTGCCCACCCCGCCTTTCTCCAAGACCTGCATCACTGAGTTGGTGTCACTTAATGCCCTAACTCATTGTATCTCCCCCACCATTCCCCAAACAGGTATCAGACCATACTTCTATGTGGTAATGGTTATTATCCATTTTAATCATTTTAATAAACATATTTGTAATTTGCTTAAATGTAATATTTCTTAAATATATAAATATTAACAACAAAATTGTTGTGTAAAATCTTTCCACATTGAATTACAACATTATTAGTAACTGAGTAGAAGCCTTTTTGAGTTTCCATCTTTTCCTTTAATTATTACTTAATTCTTTTACAAAAGTTATTGATACAGGTTCACAAGTGCTACTTGCCACATTATTATAGTAAAACACCAGAAAATTGGACAAAATTAGTGACTATGAAAAATATTTTTGTTAAGTGCCATCCAGTCACTTCTGACTGAGAGTTTCTGAGGAGTGGCTGATGGGTTTGAATGGCTGGTTAACAGTCCAATGCTTATCTTACAGTGCCACACCAGCACTCCTTATGCAGCAACAAAAACAACAGCTCTGACTTGAGTTCATTAGAAAGTTAAAAAAATAAATGAGCATAGAATTTTAGCCTTGTACATATAGTGATACATGCATGCTAGGCTTGTGAAAAAATGTTTTTGTACAGGGATATTTTATATAAAAAATAATAAATTTTTGCTGGAACACAGAACAAACATTTTATAGACACAAATACTATAATTTCCTATTTGTGCCATTATATGAAAAATACTAGGAAGCAGTGAAATAGGTAGTAAGAAGGAAAATATTAGAAATTAGGGCCATAAGGTTCCCAAATCCTTTCTCTTCTGCTTTGTGTCCTTATTTGCTGTCTGTATTCCTACTTCCGATAAGTATCTGGCAGTGTTACTCGATGCAGTCTGTACTACCATATTCCCTCAGTGATACCACTGTGCCCCTCACACAGGTTGGACAGAGACTTGGACCGGCTCCCCCAGGACCTGTATCACGCCCGTTGCCTGTGCCCACACTGTGTCAGCCTACAGACAGGCTCCCACATGGACCCCCTAGGCAACTCGGAGCTGCTCTACCACAATCAGACTGTATTCTACCGTCGGCGGTGCCACAGAGAGCAAGGTGCCCACGATGGCTACTGTCTGGAGCGTAGGCTCTACCCTGTCTCCTTGGCGTGCGTGTGTGTGCGGCCCCGGGTGATGGCCTAGGTGGTACTCACCCAAGGCTAGTCCCTCACTGGGAAAGCTGGATCCCGGCCAGCTATGGGCAACACAACCCACTGCTGCCTCTCAGGCTTGGACTCCCAAATGCTCAGCCCCTCCAAAGCACCACCTCCTTGGAACAGCCGGATCCTAAGACAACATGGGGGATTTTTAGAAGGAACCTGCACTTTTGCACTTTTTGGAGAGGACAGAGATGCAGGATGAAGTGAAGTGGACAGCTACTGCTTATGGCTGCTGGAAGCTAGAGTGTCCTTGCACTGTCTTCAAAACTCTGCCATTTCTCCAGGCCACCACTCCTGGTCTCCCATCCCTAGCTGCCCTGGTACAGCACAGGCACTTTCTTGATATTTTTCCCTTTGCCAATGGGAAACAATGTTTGTCTCTTTATTCATTCAATGTTTGTTCCGTCATTCATTCATTCACTCATTCATCCACCAAACATTAGGTGAGCATCTACTTTGTGTACTTCAATGTATAATTTCTAGTCTTTTGACGTGGGTAATTCCGAGGAGGACGCTGCTGTTGAGCATGTTGAGACTTATCCAAATAAATACCAGTGTATTTTAAAATGTCCTAATTTGTCTATGGCATCCCTAAACCTAGTGCCTTCTCCTCTTTAGCCTCACCTATTGCCCACCCCACCAACTCTCCCTGCCTTCGGAAGTCCCTACTGTGCCCTCCCATCCCTTCCCCTTTCTGGCTGGGGTCAGGCTGCCCTCCTGGCATGCTGGAGAGACAGAGGCCTATTGAGGCATTACAGCAGGCACACAGCGCCCCCTTGTCTGCAACAATTCGTCTTTGTCCTCTGGTCCTGGCTGCTACTTCTCCGTCCTAGGTGGGGGGCATGCTGGCTGGGCCATACTCCAGCTCCCATCCCCCCTAAAAGGAAAAGGGAGAAAGAAGGACCCAAGGTACAGGGCTAAGGTTAGAGGAGGGGGGCATAGTTTCTTCAAACTTCGGTCCTTGGGGGGTAGCCCGCCCTACCCTTGTATCTTGGTTCTTCTCCCAGCTCCTCCCAGTTTCTCATGGACCTCCTCCACTCCCCCTTATCCCTTCTCTAGACTGGGTCGGCTCCTCCTCTTCTTTCCCCTCCCTGTACGCCCCGTGTGTCCCATAGAGCCTGGGACAGGCACCTCAGGGAGCACTCGGGGCAGCTGGGTGAGGGCCCATTTGGACAGCGCCACCTTCACCTTGGCCCTGCGGGGAGGCCTCCTTGTACACTTCCAGGTTTCTGTCTGCGTCCCCATCCTGTTAGGTTTCCGTTTCCCTTCCCAGGCTGCGGCTGGTGGTGTAGGGGGTTGTACCCAGGCAGGCTCCACAAAGATGCCCAATACTCGAGATCGCCGGGACTGGCCCCCTGAGGAAGGGGCGGCTGCAGGGCTCCAAGGCTTCGCTGTGGATAAGACCTTCCTCTCTTCCCTCAGAGGCATCCTGCTGGAAACCGAGCTGGTAACAACCGTATCTCCCAACCTGGTACCTGATCTTTCCTCTCCCCACTCCTGGATCCAGCCCTCCCAAGGCTCACCCCTCACAATGCCCCCTTTCCAGGCTTTCTGAACCCTTTCCTGCCCTCAGTCACCCTTCCCTCACCACCTACTCTGCCTCTAGACTGCCTCCCAAGCTGGAGATAGCTGCAGCAGGAAGGGTTGAAGTCTGACAGAAGGACAGCTCTCTGGGACTTCCAGGGAGTGTGAGACACAGGGTTGGGACGGGGAAATGCTGGCTTGTGTTTCCCAGGCTCTAAGAGGCTACTTCTTGGCACAAACAGGAAGTTCACTTATCAAAAGGAGCAGAATTCCTGCAGGTCCAATTTACTCCTTGTCTGTTCCCTATGAAGTCTATTATCAGGAAAGAATTTCCCCTGGTCACTGAGTAAGACTTTGTAGAAATTATATTGTTGTTGTTAAGTACCATCGAGTCAGTTATGACTCATAGCCCCCCTGTATAGAGTTTCTGAGGAGCAACTGGTGAATTTGAACCACTAACCTGGCAGTTAGCAGTCCCGTGCTTAACCCACAGTGCCACACCAGGATTCCACAGAAACTATGTTGTTGTTGTTAAGTACTGTTGAGTCGGTTCAACCCACAGAGCCCCTGTATAGGGTTTCCAAGGAGCAGCTGGCAAGCTTGAACAGCCGACCTTGTGGTTCAAACTGACTTGGCAATCCAGCTCGTTAACCCACAGCGCCACACCAGGAAGAAACTATAGTCCTCTGCATATATAACATCCTATGTTGGCAGAGCTGAGGGACCGCCAGAGTATACCCTGACCTTCTGAGCCTTGTTTTAGCATGGAGCCAGGGTTCTGGTTTTAGAGGCGTTTTAGGATCTGGGAGTGGGCAGAGCATACTGGGAGAATGGGCTGCTGCCTGGGGCATAACTCTTGGGGCAGGTGTTCACCTTGAACTTTATCCACTAGGGAGGATACCATTGGCACGGTATTACCATATGAATGGTGTCCCTGAAGTTGCACAGTGGTGCTGCTGGGATCCCAGGGTAGTGGGCAGCTTGGGCTGGCAGAGGTGGAGATTACCCTAGTTGGGACATGCGGTTCCTGCTACCAGGGGCTGGGGGAGATCTGCCAGAGTGCTTGCTTCATTCCAAAGACAGGTGGGGTGGGCAGGCTGCCAACCTGGGGAAACTCCTGAGGAGGCCACAGACCTAGCCTGTAGGCTGTGTCCCTTCCCGGCAAGCTCCACACACTTTGTCCTGCAGGCCCTAACCTTGATCATCTTCATCTGCTTCACGGCCTCCATCTCCGCCTACATGGCGGCAGCGCTGCTGGAGTTCTTCATCACACTCACCTTCCTCTTCCTCTATGCTACCCAGTACTACCAGCGATTTGATCGGCTTAACTGGCCCTGTCTGGTGAGGAATCCTGCCTCCCCAGTCCCATTCTGATCCCTTCCTTCGCCTCCTTTCTTGTCCTGAGCTCAGGTAGTCTGGGGCTCAGCCTCCACATCCCAATTGTGTTTACCCCGTGCTGTGCCCTGCACTGTAAAGTTGCCTTGACCCACAAGGATTTTATAGTTACAAGGGTAACTGTAACCAAGAGGACGCATACTCCATCCATCTGCTCTCCCACTCACAGAAGTCCAGCCCCAGAGTAACTCTATCCTGCTCCTTTCCATATACAGGGCCTGACTGGTGGGCTCCAGCCTCTGAGTCCTAGTCCTACCTCAGTCCTACCCCGGGCTGCTCTGGGTAGCTCAGGATTCATCTGCATCCATTCCCTGGGTAGTGGTATGAACTCTCTTAAAAGTGCTTGATTTTGTGTCCACGAGTATCACCCCTTGTAAGGATTAAGAAGTCTGAGACTCAGGCCACTCATTAACCTAGAATAGCCTCAGGGTGATGTCCCACTGCTCTCTGACCCTCCATTTGTCCCTGCACCCCTGGCCTTCACAGGACTTTCTTCGCTGTGTCAGCGCCATCATCATCTTCTTGGTGGTCTCTTTTGCTGCTGTGACCTCCCGGGATGGAGCTGCCATTGCTGCTTTTGTGAGTCTGGCCCTGCAGGGCTCCCAACACTCCAGAAATTCTGGCTGATGCTTGCACACTTTCTGTGCCTCCTTCCAAGCTAAAACCAATGCCCAGGGCTCTGACTCTCACCTGGACACATACCATCCACCCTGTGTCCCTTATTTACATGGCCAGATGACCTTGGTTGTGACATTCCTGCTCCTACTCCCACAGGTTTTTGGCATCATCCTGGTTTCTGTCTTTGCCTACGATGCCTTCAAGATTTATCAGACTGAGATGGCACCCAGGGCCACCCAGGGTGAGTGCCTATGCTCTGGGGAGAGAATTTGCCCCTTCCCAAGCTACCCCATCCTGACATTCCTTCCCCTGCATGTTCTATCTTCACAGGGGACCAGCAGTGATCCTTGGGATTGCCTGACTTCCAAGGCCCAGCCAGACAAAGGGAACAATACAGCCCAGGCATGTCTCCTTTGACTTCATTGGTCCCCCTATCCACCATTCCCCACTCTTGTGCCTGTAGAGATGGAGCCTGGCCTGAGAAGTTACCGGGAACTTATCAGCAGATCTGGCCACTGATGAAGCTCTTAACAGGGAAGAGGTGTTGTACTGGAAGACAGTGAAGGAGCAAGGAAGAAACTGGACCTCCAAGTCATTCTCAAATTAAAAGATTCAAATCCTACAGGTGTCTTTTTTCCCCCCAGAAATCAGGCAGATGGGGAATGTCAAGGTATAGTCAGGGAAATGCTACCTGAAGCAGGTCATAGTACCTTTCTGAGACTGGTTTTGAGCAACAAGGAAGTGTAGTAGGGGATAACACCAAAGATGCTAAAGACATTCACCAACACCACACATCTGTGTGTAAGGCCACTGTGTAGTGTGCTGGTGGTTGGGCAACTGGCATTCTATGTCTGAGAAGGCTCAAGCCCTCCTGATGTTTGTGCTTACCTACCATTACTGTACACATAGGTTAATGGGTTTGAAGTGAGGTACTCCCCTAGGAAGTGTATAGAGCTTCCCTTTGTAGTGTGGGGAGGACTGGCTCACAGCCTGTGGCATCAGATAAGGGCAGAGAATCCCAAATGCTGATGCTGGAAGAACCCTTCCCTCATTCCACATAAGGAAAAATTATGGTCCAGTTAGGGGGATGTGACCTCCTTATTTGTGATAGAGCAACAGCTAGAATCAGACACCCAGACAAATGTTCTGGATACTATCCTGAGCCCCACAGTAGCTCAGAACAAAATGGTCCAGACTCACCCCCAGCTCCCTATACCAGTGGATGGATCCACCTTCCCAGCTTGCTAACGTCTCAGCAAACATTTCTTGAGCATCTCCTATGTGCAGACCCTGTACAAGGCATGAGGGATTCTGAAGCAACAGACAGACCTGTCCTTGAGAACTCAGACTGGGGAAGGACACAGGTCATGGTTTTGGGCACAAGTGTTTAAAAGATAATTATCGTTGTCCATGACCAATGTCATGGGAGAGCTTGACTGAGAGGGAGCTCACAGTAGGCACTTGTTGAAGACTGGCATCAGCCCTGCCCATCTCATGATAGCCCAGTGAAGCCCAAGACACCCCTCCCAGCCTGGACAGCCCAACATGGTCTAGCTCAATGACTCCGCCCATGTTAACAAGCTATCCCCTCTCTGATGCTTGTTTGTTCTCACCTTGAAGTATCCTTTTGGGTCTGACTTTTTCTATCTCCTACTTGTTGCTCCCCTTTGCTTGTGTCTTGGCTATGCATTTGTTTCCACAGGCTAGCAACCTTTATGGGGCTAGAACCAACTGGGTTTTGTGTTTCTCTGGTCTCTGGTCACAGTTCTCAAGGCTTCTTCATGGCTAGTCTTTCTTGACCCAGTCTGAGGAGGGATAGAAATGACTTGGCTAGGGGGGTCTCAGGAGATTGGGTGATCAGGTGAGGGATGAGAAGGTGGTCAGGAGAGTCCAGCTGAGGAATGGGCCTTGAGTAGAATGCAGTCTGAATCAGCCCTGTCCACTGAGTCTCTGCGTGACCCAAGGCAGACTATCCCTGCTAGGACCTCAGAGGGAAAGACAGTGCAAATCTGGGCGTATGCACATACACAAGCCCTATACTTGTTGGTGTTTGTGTAAGGTGAGCATTGCTTAGGACTGGTCTACACTGTGCACTGGTTCTGGCTCATCATCAGCTGGCCCAGAGTTTCAGGGTGCCCACATGGTGGGGTCCTGACGATGGAGTCTGGGATGACAAGGATGCAGGCTCCCTATGAATTAGTACTAGGGACAGACTAGAGTGGAACCTGTCCCATTCCCTTTCCCTGCATCTCCATGCCCAGCCAAGCCTCAGCCTCTCCTGGTATCAATGGACCATTCATGTTGGACAGAACAGAGTGTGGAGGGTGGCTTCAGCTTTGGGAGACAGTCTATCATCCAGCATCTAGAGCTGGTTCACATTTTTGGTGCCTTTCCACCAGAGTATTCAAAATTTCTCTCCTCTCTGCCCTTACATTGTTGACTGAGCAGAGCCAGAGTTCGTGGCTATCCCTCCTCAGGCAGACACCTCACTTCTCTGACCCACGGAGTCCTCCTCTACAGATGTGAGATGCCTTGGCTCCTGTAGCTCTGATACAAGGCCTGGGGCCACCCTGCTCCAGGATGGATGGTTGGTGGAAAGGACACAGGGGCTCTGGCAGAGTCTTCACTCATGTTTATTATAGGTTAGTTAGGACGAGCTTCCTGAGGCAGCTTCACTCTTCATCATGCATTTTCTGCTGAGAAAGGAATAAGAGGTGTGAGGGAGCAGCTGACAGAAGGCAGGAGGGTATGAAGAAAAAGCCCTAGAGCTTTCAAGGGCCTAAGGGAGTTCTGATAGGGAGCAGTTAGGGCCTCAGGGATCTTGGGGTTTCATGTTTGAAGTCTTTGGGATTTAGGGGCTTGGAATTGGGACTTTCTGTAAAAGTTCCATTCTGTAGGGATTCTCAGGTAATAGGGGTTCTGGGAGCCCTCAGGACTGTCTAAATACAGGATACAGAGGGCCTTCTCTGAGGGACATTTATGTCAGGGGATAGGCAAGTATGGGGGTGATAAGAGAAGCCTGGGAAAGGGGCCTACCTTGGCGCCAATGTCACGGCTCTTGGCCCGAAGCTTGTTGACCTGAGACTCGGCAATGTCTGCCCGCTCCTCTGCCTCATCCAGCTCGTGTTGCACCTTTCGGAACTTGGACAGGTTGGTGTTGGCCTGTTCCTCCTGTCAGGGGTGAGATGGGGGTGGTGGGGTGAGGTGAAAGGAGTTGTGGTGGGATTCCCAGCCTCCTAGTCCCTGAACCAGGGACTCTGTACTCTCACCTCTCACCTGTGTTCTGCAACAGCCTCCCCAGAGGTAGTTGGGGCTTGGCTCCCTCCTCAGGCTTTTCTACCCCTCTGACTCCTTCATGGCCACCCACTGCTCATGCTGTCTGGTCCAGGCCCTTCAGAACCCAGTTTCACTGCACTTGTCCAATTGTGACCTAGATAGATGCCTCCCCCCAAGTTTTCCCGCAGTAACACTTCACATGCACACTTTCGGACCACCGAGAATAACTCGCCACTTCTCTATGCTTATTCAGGTCCCCTTGTAGGACCAATCCCAGAGCTGACTTCTCAGGAAGCCTCCCTGGTTCCCTCCCTTCCTTCTGCAATGTCTACCTGCCAGGTTCTGGTATGAGTCTCTACACTGCTTTCTCTTGGGCTTACAAGTATCTAGATTATAAACTCTTTGTTGGCAGGGGCTCAGTCCAATATAGCTTAGAGTCTGTTAATTCAGAGTGAGCAACACAGTCCTGAGCATAGGACTCACACATAGCAAATTCTGAGAGTGGACAGCAAACCTTTATCCAGATCCCATGCTGCGGCAGACTCATTGATTTTTTTAATATAGTATGTGTGTTGCTGAAAGAATGGAGAAAACAATGAACTCACCGCTTCCTCAGCCTGGCGCTTGTAGGCCTTGACCTTCAGCTGCAGCTTGTCCACTAGATCTTGCAGCCGAAGCAGGTTCTTCTTGTCCTCCTCTGTCTAGGAGGAGAATAAGGAGTACAAGAAGCCATTTTGGGGGAGAGGAGCAAATGAAATCACCATCCTTCCACCCTCATCATTCCACTCTTCACTCCATGTCTTAGCTGCCTCCCTTCCCAATATTCCAGACCAAAGAGGTGGTGGGAAAGATTCCATCTCTGACTCAACTTGTAGATCAAAGGGTCAAGGTAAGGTTCTTAGAGATCTACAGAACAGTAAGGACTGTGGTTCTAAATCTGAAAAGGGTGGGTGGATGGGGCTCACAACCAAATAGAATACCTTTATATGACAATATTAAGCATCAGGTCTGCTCCAGCTCCAACCTGAATGCAGCAAGATAAATGCTTTTGCCCAGTGGTTGTAGGGTGACCAGACGAGTAATAATGAGGGGCAGAGAATGAAAGGGATGTTATCATAGCCCATATTTTGATTTTAATAAACTGTGCTGGGCCAGAATTCAGGCACCAGGATGACTACCTGTACTCTCACTTGACCCTTCCTATCACCATATCGTTGTATGTGTTTCCTCTGCTCAGATGTCGTTCCAATTTTGTCCATAACACATCGTGGTTCTATGTCAAGATCTTATTCCTATTGCTTCTAGGAGCTATCTGTCCAGTGGATCAATACTCCCTGTCCCCACTGTCTTCCCTACCCAGGCAAAATGTGAAAAGTAACAGGTCATGGACAAAAGCTTCAAATTACGGAGAGGTCTTAGACCATTCTTGGAGCTTCTTTCTCTGAGGTCTCACTGTTTGCTGTTGTAAAAATTCCATGGATAATTTCTTATCCCTAAAGTGCTACGTGATGTCCCTCCCTTTCAGACTGGAATGGAAGGTGGGATGGCTCCTTGGATTACTCTGAAGATTTCCTGGTAACATTTTGTTTTAGCTGTTAAGTGCCATTGAGTGAGTTCCAACTCATAATGACCCTGTGCAGGATTTCCGAGCAGCAGCTGGTAGGTTTGAACTGCCCACTTTGCAGTTATCAGTTTAGTGCCTATCCTACAGTGCCATACCATGACTCCTCGTAATACTTACAGTTATTAAAAACATGGTAAAAAGAGCCTTCAGGAAGTACATATAGATTTTCCATTTGCTAGAAAAATTCATGGATCCAAGCCAAACTGAATCCAGAAAATGTGAAAGAAAATGGCTCTAAAGACAGTTGTAAAGGAGCAAGTTCCAGGAGGGTTGGGTGGCATTTCCAGAAGGGAGCTGGAGTTTCCTTTTCTAGAGCACAATCTGTATGAGCCAGGTGGTGATACTGGAAAAGCCATTCTCACCATCTACTCCTACTTAGTCGCCTGACCCAGAGCCCCCACCCTGCCCATACCTGGTAGGTGAGCTCCTTGATACGACGCTCACTCTTCCTCATGCCCTTGACAGACTCAACATTATGCTTCTGCTCGGCTTCCAGCTCATTCTCCAGCTCCCGCACCCGGGCCTCCAGCTTCTGCAGTTGCTTCTTGCCACCCTTGAGGGCAATCTGCTCGGCCTCGTCCAGTCGGTGCTGCAGGTCCTTAATGGTCTGCTCCATGTTCTTCTTCATGCGCTCCAGGTGGGCACTTGTGTCCTGCTCCTTCTTCAGCTCCTCTGCCATCATGGCAGCCTGTGGGCCAGGAGAAGGGGTAATTGAATACAAGCCCCAGGACCTCTTCTCCCTCAAGAGTCCCCTCTTTCCCCTCCTGGTGTTTGCTTTCTAAAGTTCTCAAACTCCTAAGACAGAACCAAGTTGGTGTTATTGGACCCAGGGCTCTTGTCTGTCTTTCTGGAAAGTGGGTAGGTGAGTGGTCACTCACATCTGTGATGGCCTTCTTGGCCTTCTCCTCAGCATTCCTGCACTCCTGCACTGCCTCCTCCACTTCTGACT